CTGCAGACGTGGTCCGTGCGCCGTGGGCGGGCGGGCGCCCCGGGCTCCGTGTTTCCTAAGAGACAGTTTCGCAGAGAATCGCGCGCCCGCAGGCAGCCCTCCCTCCGGGCCCGAGAAACGCTTCGTAGACAGAGCAGCGCAGGCACCAGAAAGCAATACTGTACATAGTGTCACCCTCCTCCCCGCATGGGCTCTGCGAGGGGTGCATGGGGGGCTGTCCAGTCAAACAAAACCCCACGCCTAACCGTGTTGCACGCGCAAGTGTATCGGGTCAGAGAAGTGATCTTAGCCAATAAGAGAGACTAGAAACGCATGAGACCTGCCGAAACCCTAGCCTAGAGAGATAGAGCATTAACGAGGTAAAGTAATATATTAAGTTATAATTGGACTATGTCAGAAGTTTCTTTACAGTCGTATCTTAAAAATTAAAGAAACGGATTTTAGCTCATGTATATTTTATATGAAAGAAAACACCCTTATGAATTGATGACTATATATAAAATTATATTCACTACTTTTGAAAACATTCTGCTATGAATTATTTATATAAGCCAAAGCTGTATGTTTTAATTTTTTTTTTTTTGAGAATAGCTTTATCTTGTTTTAACTTTTTAGTTTTATTCTAAGAGGGGGAAAATACCTTGCAAGCAGAACCTTGGGGGAAAAAAAGCCATGAACACTTATTATTCTATATATAAATTAAAAGTTGAGCCAAACTCTTTCTGTACATAGCATCTTAAATATATTATCACCTTCGATGTAAGTACCTATGTATTGTATGGTCACCAGATTAAAAAGTATATTTTTGTGGATTTGCCGCCAATTTGGGGGACAAGGCGAGATCCTTAAGTAGAGTACTCGCTGTTGAGTATTCCCTATTTTGTTAAATATACTGTACTTTGGGTTTTAATTATTGGCCCAGTCTCTGCGAGGACTGAGCGCGGTCCTCCCGGTGGTGAGTGTGTGCTGTTGCATTGTAATCCGTGTGCTGTATGGGTTGAGCAGCATTCTATATTTTATATGTGTACATAAATAGCAAAGTGGCAAAAGTGGTGTTAAGTTCATCCTGCATAAATGGAAAATTTGTAACGGATTTTACAAGGCATTCTTTAAAAATATAGAAAATGCTGACCCGATTGACAGAGAAAATGGCCAAATCGAGGTGCACAAAGGTTTCCCACGTGGAAACGGTGAGGGCAGCGCCGTGGGGGCAGGTCTTCTCTCCGGACCCCCCCAGTGGCCTGACGTGGCTGGTTATGGAAACGCCCCTTCTGGGGGGATTCGGGTGCAGATGGGGGCTCGGCCCATCACCCCGAGGTCAGTGCACCCTCAGCTGGGGTTTGACCACAGCCTTCCTCTCCCAGGAATGGGGGTCCCAGGTCCCGGCTGGTGCCATGAACGAAATTCCAAGTCCTGTAATGTATGTCCACCTACCAACGGTTTTAATATGACTTTTCCCGAGAAACTCAAATAGGGTTCAAAACGCTGCTATTTTCTATTTGACACTTACTGGCAGCAGCTGCCTATGTACCTGCATGTCTATCCCCCCAAAGTGCACCCAGGCCAAAGGGAGTGAGGTGCTCTCCTCCGGCTACACACAGGGCTCGTTCGGGAAGGACTCGCTTCTCTTGAAAATGTCCTCATCTTTCTGACCGACTCACTCACAGGCACATCCATAACGCCACCCCTAACTGAGACAAGACAGCCCCCCACTGTCACCCACCGAGCGGGGCTGTGGGAGGCGACCGCCCCGCTCTGCATGTCCATGGCCGCCGGCCGCACACGGGGCGGGAGCCCCGCACATTGACTGTCTTTCTTGTGTGCCTTACGAGACGGCTTCCCGACTGTCCCGATAGTCTTTCTTCCTATGCAGGTTTCTGATCCGCACGCCCGCTCTCCTAGAACACGGCCCCCCCAGGCTCGGAGTCTGTACGGCAGTGGTTCTCAACCTTCCTAACGCCGCGACCCTTTCATACAGTTCCTCATGTGGTGGTGACCCCCAACCATAAAATTATTTTCGTTGCTACTTCGTAACTGTCATTTTGCTGCTGTTATGAATCGTCATGTAAATATCTGATACGCAGGATGGATTTTCATTGTTACAAATTGAACATCATTAAAGCATAGTGATTCATCACAAAAACAGTATGTAATTATACATGTGTTTTCCGATGGTCTTAGGCGACCCCTGTGAAAGGGTCATTTGACCCCCACAGGTTGGCGACCCACAGGTTGAGAACCGCTGCTGTCCGGCAACCACAGCCACAATCACATGACCAGGGGGCGAGGGGCTGCGCTTCCAGGAACCGAATCTAGACTGTTACCCCTTGTCCCACACGCAGTGACGGGAGCACGACACTCCTCACCACGACGCCACGTACGAACACGCCTCCTGGTGGGCGCCACCCCGACTGGGCAGGACACTAGCGGGGTCGCTCAGCACCTCCATTTCTTACCCTTTTAGACGCGTGGGTTTTGTATGACACCATCACCAGAAAATGCACCCATCCCGAGGAAGTATTTTATTACTAAAAACAAAAACACAAAAAGCTTCGCGTGAATTGCACTGGCCGGGACAGCTTCCAGCCGCTGTCCTTCCCTCAGGACCCTCACCCCAGGGAGGGCGGGGTCCCATCGACCGTCACATGGCCCCACCCCAGACGCCATCGCCTGAGCCCTAAGTACGTCCACTGCGTTAGAGGCTAAATCAGGGTTTGTTCTAAGGAACAACGTTTCACCGTTTCCCTTCCCTAGGGCTCCCCCTCAGGCACCCATACGTTTCCGCAGGAACCATCCCGCGCACAAGACACACAGTGAGCAGGAAGCGGGGCTCCGGGCGTGGGAGCCAGGGAGCTGGACACTGTGAGAATGTGAAAAGGGGTTTACAAATGCAACACTTCCTTTCCTCTGTAGAAACTTCCTTCACTTTGCTGTGCGAGAAGACACTGCTTTGCTATATTTAAAACGGCTTTTTTACAAGAGGTTTATGTCTTTGGTAAATGTTTGTAGTCACCAGGTCACACGAAGCTGTACGCGGTTTGATCATGTGAACCGTTTGGCGGCACAAGCTGGACTTTGTTGCCATCCTTGCGATGAAAAATAAGTTAACCTGTTTTCCCTGACGTGTTTTTCTTCCTTATTCAATAAACATGATAGTGACCTTTTTATCAAATGGTCGAGCTGCTGAGGCTGTGATAACTTTGTGTCCTGCTCTCACTGCTGTCCAGGCGCCTGGCCTCTCCTGCGGCCTCCGGACTCTGCCCTGTGGTCCCCGAGCCCCGGGCCTCCCCCTGCGGGCTGGTCCTGCGGGGTCACGGGGGGCTGCGGTGAGGAAGGGGGGCTGACAGCAGATCCCACTTATCTTAGTTGTTTTACCCCAAATGCACACAACACTGAGCCAGAGGCAGAAGATCTACTAAATAAAGTTTGTTCCCAAGGCTGTCGGTGGGAGAAAGCGCCCTCTTCCTCCATTCACCCCCGAGCCTGGCTGGCAGATGTCTGCTGTCCGTTAATTGAAGGGCTCCATCTTCCTGCTGCTTCTACCTGCGGCTAGTGGGTTTGGAAGCTGAGTCCTGGGGCTAGAAGTACTCGAACCCCACCTGCAGCTACTCGGTGCCCCCCGTTTCTAAGCCGATCTCGCCTGCCTGGCAGCAGCCAGGAGAATGACTTCCGTGGGCGCCCTCTGCCCGCTGGGGACTCCGGCCAGAGTGCCACTCGGTGTGGACAAGGAGGGAAGCAGTGTCCCCGCCTCCCATGGGGAGGGGCCCCCGCC